CATAGCGTATTACAAGTTGTACTATTTTTGGAAACTGCTGAGTCACATGAAAGAAGTTTCTGGAATATTACAGATTATAGATAGTTCTAGAAAAGTCTGGGATTGCGTGACAGATTCAGTAAAAATAATGCGATCCTCATAACACCATAAAGTGGCAAGGTAAACATCCAATATTAGCCACTGATGCTGAGTATATATACTAAAATGGCATATAGCACAAAGAGATGATTTTAACTCAGTCATTCCTGCAATGATTGTAAATTCTCAGATGCAAACCACTGTGAGTTGCTTGAGGGTGAATAGCAGAGGATATTCAGAGTTTGAGTGGCCAATCAGAGTGCACCTTCAAATGCTATGCACTGTTTTAGTACATACAAATAACTGATAGTGATGGTTTGTTCCACTTTTTTTCAAGTCATTTTTCATTTTTTTATTAATAATTCTTTCCTCCTTTCACCCATATCCAGGATTCAAGGAAAAATTTTGCAAGTTCATCATGGAGACAAGTCTGAAAGTGTAAGTTATAATCAGGAAAAGGTAAAGATGTTGCATATCTGCTGGTATACTGGAAAGTACAATGTAAATTTAATCTAAGTTTGGGTCATGAAAGATTATGGAAAATGACTGAATGATTTATTCCAAGAAAACAAATCAGGATAACCTGTGAATTCATTGATGGTTTTTGCTTTATCTTGAGACTACTGCTAACTTGAAAATCAATACCAGTACTACATGTAGAAATCAAATTTATCACCTCATTTTCAGGGCACTGATATAACATATGACTTTGAGTCTGATGATATTCAATACTGCTTGAAGGGCATTCCACCAAAAGAAATCAGGTAAGATACTGTATCTGTCTGTGTTCAGTAACTGCAACTCAGGAAAGATGCAGTATCTCTCTGTGCTCAGTAAATGCAATCTCAAGGCAGAGAAGAGTGACGAATTTATTACTTAACCTGAATGTTCTTAATTAATGTCAAGTGTTTGCCTTTCACCATGACTTGGAACATTTTTGACAACTTATGTGATTAAAATAATTTACTTTTTATAAGTTGAATGATTAGTTTAAATATGAACAGGGAAAAATTTTACACCCAATTTAAAAAATATTATAATTTCAATATGTCAACAAAGGTGAAATGGTGAATTGGCCACCGTTACGTTAAAAAATGGTAAATTGGCCACCGTTACATTACCGTTAAAAAATATTACATTACAGCTTGATATTGCTTGTAAGGCATTATATTCATTGTTTTTTTTTTTATGAATATTTTATTTTCAAATGGAAACCTTTAACTATGTAATGGTTGCTTTAGTTTTAACTATTTTCTTTTTTGTACATTACTTATTACAATATCAAGGACATTAAATCTATTTCTGATTGATCAATGAAAACATCTCTAATTCTTTTATCCTCTAAGAGTTATGGGTGGAATTCAATTACTTTCAATCGGTAGCTACACATTTGGCCAAGTTTTACTTTTTACTTTTCAAGACATATCAAGAAAATCCCATCAGCTGAGTTGCTTAAGTGCTTCATACGAGTCAACACCCTAAACCCTTGGAAGACTGATAACAGCCCTTGGCTGGTCAAGGTATTCATTTAATATACTTTCTTCATTTACATTTCAAAACTTATAGTCAAAGTGGCTGTTGAAGTTCTAAGGCTCTGTTTTCTTCCATATGCAACATATTTTAATTTTTTTAATATTATTATTTCTCAGAGTGATATAGCAAAGAAGTATTCCATTGCTGAAAAACTTAATGATTTCTCTTTGGTATTTGGCAAGGTATGTTTTTTTTTTATAATTTACTTTAACTTAAAGTTCTCAATCATTTGAATTCCCTTCCCCTTTTGTTTTTATACACTGCTCTGCTTGCCAAAAATGACCCATTAACAGCTAGTCTTGCATCAGTGCACCTGGCTGTCAACAAAAGAACCAATTACACAAACCAGTTGAATCTTAAGCTTAAAAGAGTTGAGGTTTGAGGCCTGGACGTGGTGAGGAGAATAAGTTAGTTGCATTAACACCTTGTCTTAGCTTAGATAGTGAATTTGAACTTGTTCTTAGGTAATTAATGGCCTTGTTTTTTTGTTTTTTCAGAAAACAATACCCTCATCTAAAACTCCTTCCAAAGGTCATGAGAACACTGAAAAGCAAAGGAAGAAAACTTCTGACAAGAACAAATCACATGGGAAGTCTCAAATGAAGAAGAGTGGCTTAATGCAGAAAAAGCTAGACTCCTTTAGAACAAGCAGTAATAGCAAAGATATCACTGTGAGCCCATCAAAGGTGTCTGACATGACACCGAAAAAGGTAATGCCAACAAAGAAGGACATCATTGACATTTGTTCAAGGCCTGACAAAGATGATGAGAAGACACCATCCAGTCAACTGCGTGGTACTCCAGTCAAATGCAGATTGGTTTTAACTCCTATCAAGTCGCCTCAAGTTACAGCTGCAAAGAGCATCACTCCTAAAATAAGTGATGTAAGTAAAGACATAAAAGATGTGGCTGTTGAAGAAACTGCAAAGGATGTTGTTATCATGGGTTGTAAAACATCAAAATCATTTTTCTCTCAGCCAAGTAAAAAAGTCAGGAGTTCTCCCAAACAGGACAAATGTAAGAAGTTCTTAGATAGTAAAGGGATGTTGAACAAGGAATCAACAAAGACAGTAAATGCTTCAAAAAAGGTTGACTTGTCTGAACCAACAGTTAAAGGAACTAAACTGAAGGAGAAGAAGCTTGCAGATGGAACCAAATCAGCAAAAAAGAAAGCAAAACTAGATGTTTCTGTGGCAGAAGGGGAGTTAGTGATTGTGGACAATGATTCTGATAATGATTTTCAATCTTCTCCTCTTAAGGTAAATGTCCACAAAGTTTTAATGAATAGAAAAGATGGATGGTAAATTATTGTGCTGAGGTCACATAAAGAAAGATGTTACTAATTTTGTCATCAACTCAGGACAAAGAAGAAATCAGGTCCCTAAAGTGGAATCAAACCACACACCTTCTGACTTATTTTGGACCTTTGGTAGAGCATCATATTGCAAATCAAAAGTGGTACTGTGGTACTGCATCAGAAGGGGGGTAGGGTATTACAAGATAATTATTTGGTATTATCATTTGAGTTGACTTTTTACCACTGTAAAGAGTTCCTAAGGCTGATGTTTCAAGCATTAGCCCTCATCAACCTCTATCAGCCCTTCATCAGTTCATCAGCTCTTTATCAGTTCATCAGCCCTTCATCAGTTCATCAGCTCCTCATCAGCCTTTCATCAGTTCACCAGCCCTTCATCAGTTCATCAGCCCTTCATCAGCCTCCATCTGTTCTTCATCAGTTCATCAGCCTTCATCAGCCCTTCATCAGCCCTTCATCAGTTCATCAGCCCTCATCAGCCCTTCATCAGTTCACCAGCCCTTCATCAGTTCATCAGTTCTTCAGCCCTTCATCAGTTCTTCAGCCCTTCATCAGTTCATCAGCCCTTCATCAGTTCATCAGCCCTCATCAGCCCTTCATCAGTTCACCAGCCCTTCATCAGTTCATCAGCCCTTCATCAGTTCACCAGCCCTTTATCAGTTCATCAGCCCTTCATCAGCCCTTAATCAGTTCATCAGCCCTTCAT